ACACACAATGCAAAACCCTGTCAAACAGGCTGGAGGACGGCTCAGAACTGACTGTTCTTCCAGAGGGCCCAAGCTCAATTCCCAGAAACCACACGGTGGCTCACAACCATCCATAATGAGACCAGGTGCCCTCTTCTGGCCTGCAGACAGAGTACTGTATAAAAAATAGATGCAGCTAAAAAACAAAAACAAAACAAACAACAACAACAAAAAAAAAACAGAATCATCCCAAACCATGGCAAACAAGATCCTTTACGGATTTATGAGCTAAACCGGGAAATTTATAGGCATCATAATCCCTTGCTTAATCTTAATTCAAAACAATCACTAACAATTATGCGGTTTTAAATCCATACCATGTAATCTCCTTTAGAAAATGCATGCTATTCTTCGGCCTAGTTTGAGAAGACCTAAGGTGCCAGTGACTCACATAACATCTTGGTAAGATGTAAAGCACCTTGAGAGGCATACGCTGTCTCATAGTGTTATGGAAGTCACGCCCTGTCCAAACTCTTGTGACAAAAGAATCTCAAGTATAATGCCAATCAAAACTTTCAGAGTAAATACCTGTGGGTAAAGGCTTTCTATGTGCCATGCACAGAGACTACTGTAAAAAGCTACCAGATACTATTAATAATAACACAACTACAGCTACTGGCTAGTGTTCCCAGTGATGGTGCAGCAAAGGTTGTGAGCCTGTAACGAGAGAGAGTCTGTAACGAGAGAGAGTCTGTAACGAGAGAGAGAGACAGACAGACAGACAGACAGACAGACAGACACTCTAAGTAGAGGCTGCTCTCTGTGAAGACACAGTGAGTTTGTGTGCATCAGGGTCTCACAGGAGAGTATCCTGCAGGTCAGTGCCCATCACAAGACAGTAACCTGTCCGCGCTGACCAGCGTCCACACACCACCTGCAGAGCAGGTCCCGTCTTCCTGACTTCTCTTCAGAAAACCCCTCCTGTAGCAGCTGGGAAATCTCTCTCATTCTAAGGCTCTTTAAAAAAACAGACCAACGAACAAAATAAAATAACATATCCCACCACAAGAACACTGTGAATTTACTTACTTAATCTAATAACTACTCTCTTGGAAATACTCAAAACTCTTTTTTGTTTTTAGATTTGCTATGCCTTAGCCTGTTATAAAGAGACGGAAAACAGTTGTTAGTAAAAACCACTTCCTTCGTTTCCTGGACTAATTTTAGAAAAAGAATATTAAACACCTACTTGTGCTCAGAGAAAACAAGGCGAGTTATTCTTCAGACAAGTGTTGTCACCTTCAGTTATGAAAAGGCTAGCAGGTGTCCTTCCTGCAGGCAGAAAGCCAGATGAACTGAGAGAGCTACATAAATAGGGATTAGCTAGCAATGGCGGGGGGGGAGGGAGGTTGGGCTCCTAAGGTGCACTGGGCTTTTATACCTTATCACTTGTTTTGCTATTTATGAAACTAGATATGTTGTATTTATCTTGGTGTAGAGGTAAGATATCAGTCTGTGATTCCACTCTGAGACAACCCACGTGTGTCAGGTCGTGTGGCCCCTGGGCTGTTCATCCCCATCTATACTGATGCTTCAGGAACGGAGTGTGAGGAAAAGGCGAATTGTACATTCAACCTTCAAAAGAGGACAAACATATCTGCTCTCTTCTGAATAAGAGATATGCATCACAGAAGATAAAAAGTTTCAAATTCTAAATCACCAGGTCCACTAAAACCAGGCTCTCATTACTGAAAATTTCCTTTTCCCCCTTATAACTAGTAGGTATTTAATAATTAAAGTATGTCTCCTTTGCCTTCCCCAAGATGTAACTTTCTTCTAGTATCTCTTCAAACACTTTTACAAATATTTAAATTTATTAATGAATGATATACAGATATTATTGTATGAAGAAACTTTGCAACTACATTATTGAACTAATGGGGGAAATCCTTCTGTGTATATTAAAAAAAAAAAAAGCACTATTGGCCAATAGGGAAGCAAGATAGGTAGGACTAGGAGTGAAGGAGAATTCTGGGAAACAGAGGCACAGTGAGTCATGATGTAGGACACCAGGAGTAAGAGGGCCAGACCCTTTCTCTGTTAAGAGAAGACCACGTGGAAACAGTCAGATTAACAGTTATGGGTTAATAATTAAGTCAGAGCTAGCCGATAAGAAACCAAGCAAACAGCCAACAGCTTCATAATTAATAAGTCTCACGTGTTATTTGAGGGCTGAGACAGCAGCGGGACCCAAGCGGCTGGTGGGAAAAGTACACGTTACATTGAACAATACTTATTTAAACACACCTCAAGATATCTTGCTTTGTTATTATATCCATACCACATGACATGGGGGGAAATTTGGATTATTGCTTGTGGTGGTTTAAATGGAAATGGCCCCAAAGACCCAGAGGAAGTGGCACTATTAGGAGGTGTGACCTTTCACTGGGGGTTTGGGCTTAGAGGTTTCAGGTGCTCAAACCTGATCCAATGGCTCACTCTGTCTTTCTGCTGCCTGCCAATTTGAATACAGAACTCTCAGCTACCTCTCCAGCACCATGTCTGCCTGTGTGTTTGCTGCCATGCTTCCTGCCATGATGATGAGAGACTAAACCCCTGAACTGTAAGCCAGTCCCAATTAAATGCTTTCCTTTATTGGAGTTGCCATGGCGGGCAGGAGAGATGGCTCAGTGGTTAAGAGCACTGGCTGCTATTCCAAAGGTCCTGAATTCAACTCCCAGCAACCACATGATGGCTCAAAATCATCTGTAATGAGATCTGGTGCCCTCTTTTGGCCTACAGGCAGACAGAACATTGTACATTGTATATGTAATAAATAAATCTTAAAGAAAAAAAAAAAGAGTTGCCATGGTCTTGGTGTCTCTTCACAGCAATAGAAACCCTAAGACACTGTGAAGGTAATATTTTTTTTTTTCTTTTTTGGTTTTACGAAACAGGGTTTCTCTTTATTGGTTTGGAGGCTGTCGGTCCAGCCTGGCCTCGAACTCAGAGATCCGCCTGCCTCTGCTTCCCAAGTGCTGGGATTAAAGGTGTGCGCCACCACCGCCCGGCCGAACGTAATATTCTTATAGTTTTGTGAAATATTAAACATGAATAATTACCCTTTGAGCTACAACTACCAACTTATAAGACTCACAGGATTTAAAAGAGCAAAATCAAACGAAATCCAGACTAGGGGAAATTCTATGGGATAAAGTCTACAAAATGAAGGCTAGGGTTTCCTCATTTAGGGTAGAGAAGAAGGAGGAGAGAAGGCACGGAAATCTGGAGGTTTAATGAAAATACACAAACCTTATTTTGGTCCAGGTTTCTATAAACAAAGTATAAAAAGGAAATTATAAGTCAACCAGAAAAATTAAGATTTTTTAAAAGACATTATATCTCTGTGTAACAGCCCTGGCTGTCCTGGAACTTGACATGTAGACCATATTGACCTCGAACTCACATAGATCCTCCTGCCTCTGTCTCCTGGTGCTGGGATTAAAGGTGTTCACTACTACTGCCTAGCAAAATGTGAAGATTTAACAAAGAAAAACACTACCATAAACTTAGGTGAGAAAGGGCACTGTGTTCATTTCTTTCAAAAGAGCCCTGGTCTTTCACCTCTCACAAAACTGCTTCAGCCTGTACTATTTCCAAATTATTTGGGGCTAAGGGGAAAGTTAGATGTAGAGAGAGCTGGGTATGTATACAGCAGGGTCCTGGGTGCAAAGGAGAAAGGTTTGGGAGGAATATTTAAAAACTGATTTTTGTAAATGTCCTCTTTAAAATACAGAGATAGCCACCCCCACCCCTCATAGCAAAATTCTTTAGGTCGGACACTCCCAATCAACCAGAAGTATAAGCACAAAGGAGGGAGAAACTTCTTTTCTAAAAAATTCACAGCCTGGCAGGAAGGGACTAGAAGTCTTCAGCCACAGACCGAAGCATAAGCTCTTCAAATCCCCAGCTTCCCTAAATCTAGTGAACAAAAAAAGTAGATCCTGTAGCAATGAACAATCGGGGTTTCACCATGCAGGCAGCCAATGGAATGGAGCCCAATGGGAAAATCCTCTTTGTGGGTGACGAATGAGGTCTTTAATGAGACTATCATCTCTCTCCTTAGTGCTAGAAATGTTAGCGTATCGTTCAAAAAAAAATACAAACGGGTAGTCATAAGACAATGGTGTATTTTGTCTTGCGGCCCCTCTAGTGTCTCTCCATCAGCTCATCTCCTAAACCCAGTCACACAAACCTGCCTGGCTGTGAAAAGCAAATCACAAACAGAGCAAGTGACTTTGTTGTTGCTGCGGGTGAATTCCGGCACTTGCTTATCTCCAGTTGTGTGCTGAACAGCCCTGTGATGACCTACACCACCAAATGCTAAAAACTTAGAGCTTCCAAAGCAACATGTCTGTCTGCAGGTTGACTGACATCCCTGGAGGCTCTGGGCATCACTGCCAGGCACACAGTTAGAGCTGATTGTAGAAACTCATGCCCAAGTGGGCAGGGAATGAAAGCGGAGACTGCTTTGGGGGCTGCAGAGCAACAACGCTCTCTGGTCTAGTGATGCTGACACAGACTCAGGCCCAGTGCTTGGGCTTATTATGTCTCCAGGTCATCTTTGGAGTAAGGACTAATAATAACAGCACAACCAGGACACCCAGAACAGACCTGCAATGGGCTTAACAACTTGTGTGCATTTCGCCTTCCAGTTACATTTTATGCAACAAGAATAACATGATTGGTGTATGGTGTCTAGTACTACAGAGGACTGGTATTACTGAATGACCACCTTGGACAGGCAAAGAGAAAGCCCAAGACCCCACCCAATAGAAGATTGAGTACATCAGGTCCAACATGACTGAAACAAAACATTTCTTAATTTCTTATACATAGTTTTATGTTCCTAGTGAATTACAAAAAAAATCCAAGCATCAGACATACGGTAAGATGCAAGGATTGTTTTCTGCTGACAGCCTGGCTGAAATGGGTAAATTAAGGAAATGAACACAACATACCTGAAGACGGCCAGAGTCAGCGACCAGAGCACTAGCGGCTTCCGCAGGTCAAACTTCGCTCGCTTGTTCATCAGATGCCGACCACCAAATATGAAGGCAGCGTACAGCGCAGAGAACAGGAAGGACTTCTTCCTAGGAAGAAATAAATGGACAAAGCCTTGTGAGACAGGACTCCTGAAGCACCTTTCACGACTCAAGATTAGTTTCTTGCGAAGATGCCCCACTTTGATGAAATTTAGTCCACTTGGAGACATGTTCTGTTGGCAAATTCATCCTATGGCCGCCAACATGACACAGTAAACACCATTCTGTGTATAGAGATGTTCTTTTTAGGCCTAGGATCAAAAATTTCAACCTAGCACCAAGGTACAAAAATGGCCTTTTCACTAGAGGGATTAACTTTATTCTTTCCAGGAAAATGAATTTAAAATAGAATTGTGGTTTTGGTAGAACGCTAGCATTAACTTTCAATATTACGATTAGCCTTTTTTTTTTAAGTTAAATCGTCAGATACATATATACACACAAACTGAATTTAAATGTGTCTCTGATATACTCTGGTAGAACCATCTGCAAGACAACTGAACACCTTTCCAGTGAGTTGTACTGACTGCAGACTGAAGACCTGGGGGCTAAGAAGATTAAAACCATCTTGAGAAACACAGCAGTCACATACAAGTGTGTAAAAGAAAAAAAGAGGTTGTTTTTTTTTCCTCCCCTTGGAAACATATTTCAAATAAGTTTGTTCTTATTTGAACAAAGTAGTGTAAAAAGAAAAAAGCAGTTGTAGGTAGAATTTTAAAGCTATTTATCTATTGTGGATACACATTGAGATGTATTTATGAATGAAATAGTGTGTTCTGGATTTGTTTTAAAATACCCTGGGAAACAAAAGTAAACAAGAATGAAAAGAAGATCAGAAAGACAAAAGGTATGATGGGAGAGTGGCAAACGACACAGAAACCTCTTAATACACTGAAAAACACCAAAAAACATTTCTCATTTTAAAATATTCCATAACAGATATTTTTAGAAGGGTGGAAACTATGTGTGTAAGTATCTGAAACCTCTATTAGGACAATATGGGAAGGTAGTCACTATTGGAGTGACTGTGGTCTCAGTCACAGAAGGGTGGAGACTGTTAGCAATAGCAAATATAGGACCTCCAAGTCCCACCAGCTGCTGATTTGTTACTGTAAACAGTTTAATGCTGCCAAAGCACACAGAGAAAGAGGAAGAAAGAGATAAGGAGGGGGTACGGAGCACATAAGCTTTGTAAAAGTCCTCTTTAGAATATGGAGACAACTCCCCATACAGAAATTCTTTAAAAACTTAAGCATAAGATGGAAACCTATCTCTTAACATGGGTACCCCCCCATGCCATAGGACCAACAAAGAAACGGCTGAGGAATGAAAGAATAAATCGACGGTGTGAAAAATCAAAACACGTTGGAGAATTTAGAGGGCAAAATGCTTCTCTATTACTTCCCTGACTGTTGGCATATTACTGTTTGTCCAAGAAACACTGCTACTTGCATGCATGCAGTGACCTACTTGGTTGAGTCCCAACCAGGTAAAGCTATAATCCCAGGATTCAACCCATAAGTAAACACCATGTAAATTAGTTCAAATACAACCCTGCCACCATGGCAAGTGCTTGTAGGGACACATAATCCTGGCACGAAGTAGGCTCTTAGTGAATACATGCTGAATAATTGTCTCCTGCTTTCAAGCAGGGAAATGACACTGGAAGTCCTCAGTAAACACTGAATGAATGGGCAGCTAGGGGACATTGAAAGAAAGTGTATTTCCCCAGTGTTATAGTTAAAACAACTGAAAACCAAACTACTCAGAAGTAGACTGCACCACAAATCCCTCCTACAACAAATGTTTTTTGCTCAGAAACAAAGCAAAAAAAAATTTTTAATGGAAAAAACACAACCAGGCAATCTTTTGAGAACTACCATTGTCCATAAATTCATACACACGTGTATTTTTGCTCAACTAACCGCCCAGGTAATGGTGTTAGAACATATAGAATGAGATCCACTCTTTCTATACAAACATGAAGTTAAGACATATAAAACCCACATACAAAGCCCATGCATGAGCAATGGCTTACTTTAAAAAAAAAAAGAAAGAAAAAAGAAATAAAAACCTGCTGCTACTGCAAGCAATGGCAGCATTAAACAGTGCATTTGTTGTTGTTGCTTTGCTTTTCTTAATTATAAGCATTATTACTTAATCCCTAATCACCTCACCTTGCAACTGAAGTTATCACTTCCATTTTAGAGAAAAAGAAATGAATGGGCTTAGAGGTTAAGCAGCCCTTAGGCTTCTCCTCAGTAAATGTACAGGAGGAAGGGAGGTAGGTCCTTGATGTACTGTCACCTAAGCAAGTCAGGGTCCCTTTGGTGACCTCTGTGTAACTAAGCAGAATGGAGTTTAACTGTGAAAAAGCCCAAGGCACCTATCCACCCCACACCATCATGCTCCAACTGTTGAATGTCCCAGGTCTGTGAAACTTTCACTCACCCCTCCCCTTGTTTCTCTGAGAATAAAAATGTTCCTGAAGAGGACTTCTCATATTTAAAATGATTTCTTTCCATTTTATGTGTAGGAGTGTTGGCCTTCATACATGTATGTGAGCCATGTGCGTGTCTGATGTCTGAGGAGGCCAGAAGAGGGCACTGGATCCCCTGGAACTAGAGTCCCAGAGGTCCCTCGGCAAGAGCAAGTGTTCTTTCTTAACCACTGAGCCATCTGCTCCCATGTCTTACCACTCACTATTTCTTAGTCAAGTAACATAATTTAGGTCCTGGTTTTGGATACATGAACTGCATTACTTGTAATCATGTGCCAACTAAGTTAAATGATGACTTTATACAGTCATATCATCCTAGCCACCAGGGAAAATGTGCCTCAAGAACCCAGGAAGAATAAAACTCCCTCTGTGTTCTTTTGGTTTTTGCTATAATTTCCACATTTCTTGAATGCGAATTAGTTCTAGGCCATGTCCTTTCCAGGTCAATTTTCTCCTTTACATTTGTTTCTTAAAAGAAAAAGAACATCTTCCATAACTCAAGGCATGGTGGCGCACACCAACAGCCTTAACATCTAGTAGAGGCAGAGTTCAGGGAGAGGTTAAGTCCCTCAACCTACAGGAGAGGGAATAAAGAGGCTGACGACATTAGTGGCTCGTGGTCACTGTGTACACTGGTCAAGACCAGCCACAATGTTCGTGCCTCATACCAAGAAGGTTGGGGGGCAGGAATGAAGTTATGGGCTCTGGGGGTCCCAGACTGTCAGTGATGAGAATGACATCTGCTTAAGCATGATTAGAGAGCATCAAATGGTCACGCATGGTCACAATCTTGTACTGTGGCGAAACCCAAACCCTGCTTTGGGTGAGTTTAGAGTTAAACAGGTTCTTCCATAAGGAATTAAGTTTCGGCACTTGCAGGGAACATGGACGAAACTGGATGTCTCAGTGAAAGGGAGAAACAGAAGAATGAAGGAGAGAAAGAGGTAGAACACGGAAGTAGACGGTGGACTGCTCAGGGAAGCGGGGGCAGGAGGAAGACAACGGGGGTGGAATGGATGTGAGTGATTCAAAGTCCCTTACACACGTGTATGAAACTATGGAGTAAAAAGTAAGTTTCAGACCCCCTCAACACTCATCTACCGAAGCATGAACTCCTGTTTCAAAAGTTATAATTACTCTTCCAGGCTTACAAGGCTTGACAAACTGGGCAACTTCAGTGACTGAGAACTGGCTTTCCTACCACTACCTCTCTGGTAAAGGTTCAATTAGAGTCAGGTTACCGTTTAGGATGGATTAGTGAGTGCCCTGCTGTTTCAACAGTAATCCAATAATTCTCCATCTTGCTGTAGGCATCCAGGGATGGGGATAATGCAGCTACTACAAAGTTTTATTGTCGGTTAATTAGTAATCCCTAGGGAGCATGGAGTTATCTTGCATAATACATCTCAATGTACATCACACAGCACAAGTCGTCCTCTCGGGTACCTAACAAGTCCTTTCAGGGTGGGGAAACTGCAGCTCATTACCAGGTACTGAACCATGTAGGAGATAGGTCAAAAGAAATAGTAAAGTGGGCCCTAAGAAGACAGCTCAACAAGAGAGGACCTGAGTTCACATGGCCACGTGTGCCTGTCACACCCTCCTTGCTGGGCTGAGCCAGGTGGATCCCAAGAGCTCCCTGCTAGCCAGTCTACTGGGAAACTCACTGTGAGTTTCAGGTTCGGTGAGAAAACCCGGTTCAAAGCAAAGCAAAAAACCAACGACGACAACCCAAACAACAAAAAAATTAAGGTGGAAACTGGCACACAACACCTCCTCTAGCCCCTGCAATGGGGACATGGCACATTCATCTGTGCATACAACGCACGAGCGCGCGCGCGCGCGCACGCACGCACACACACACATGTGTTGTTCTGCGGTGCTTGTACTTTTTTGAAACAAACATAATCTTTTCGTTCCTTACATAATGAAAGTGAGTAATAATGGAAATTAGTTTATAACTAATAAAAAACAGCTAATTTATGTACTTAAGAGATTTGGATTTCTCTGTAATACTCTTTATCCCTAATCATTCCTCAAGGTGGGTTTTTATTCTCACTGGGATAACTGAATACCTTATCTAAATTCAAATGCATATTTTAAACTTGTGGGATGCCTTTGAAGCCAGTACTTAGCTTGCAGTGCCGTAGTGTTCACAGGGAAATCTGACAGCGATTGGGCCCTCCTCCAAGAGTCAAGCAAGTCAATTTTCCAATGAAAGAACTTTCACGTGGGTGGTATTTCAACACAGGATAACTCCTAATGAGCACCTTTGCAAAGACAGCCTGAGTTCCTTCCTCAATATTTCATGTCGTGTCTGAATGACCCTGTTTATGGCTGCCAAGGGTACCCAAGGTACAAAAAAAAAACCCCAAAAAACCCCACAACCTGCCAGAGGGAAGAAAAAAGAGCTCTGTGTACCTCCCAGTTCCGGTGATATTACTTAGTACATAAAAAGGGTCTATGCTGGCTGGGTGTGCATTTAATCCAGCGATGAGGGAAGAGACAGGAGGATCTCTGAGTTCAAAGTCATCCTGGTCTATATAGT